GTAGTAGTACTGTTCGTAGAGAAGTAGTACGACGACGTAGAAGAAGAAGAGAGCATGTAGACGTTAGTTAGTTATTAGTATCTCTCTCTCTACTCTTATTCTTACTTTAGTTACTCTCTCTCTCTCTCTCTCTCTCTCTCTCTCTCTCTCTTTGATCTGGTTACTCTGCTGGAGAGGATTTTACTGTTTTTGCACAATAAAATGGGTTGTATTGGATTTCTGATGCAAATTAGGGTTGATTCTTCAGCACCATGTTCGTTTCTGCAATCATTTCTTCTTTGGGTTTGGATTGACCTAAATAAACCCCTCTTTAATCTGACATGTGATTTACTTGGGGGAATTCATTTGGGAAAAAATAAATATTGAGGGGTTGCGAGTTTCACTAACTAGGTGAACTGAACGGAACTATGCAGGCATAACAATGAGGTTTTCTGGCGTTTGTAGGTTTAGAGAATGAGTTTTTTTAGGAAAGTATATAAGAAAGGAAAAATCTTAGACTTTCATTAGTTGTTCTTAGGTACATCTTCCTCGAACTTCTAAGAAATACTTGCATCATAGCTCTTGTGTTTAGCACATTGAGTTACAATAAGTCCATGTGTATTTTTTAATTGAAAATTGGTTTGCGTTATGTATTTCAGATTTATTTGTTCTTCCCTGGTCGATCTCCTTCAAGACCTATTGATGCCCTTTTTGGCCTTTTAATTGGGTTCATAGACTTGTCAATTTGTCTTTTCACAATCAATAAGGGCATGTTTGTTTTGTGTAAGCCATGGCTTCCACAATTGTAGCACTTCAGAATATTATGCGGGAAGTTTGTAACATTTTTGTATGCCGCTACTAAAATATGTTGTCGGAAATAATGGCTTCCAGAGTTGGTGGAAGAGGCTACTTTGAAAGTTTCTCTTCCACCAATCAAAAACTCCATAAATGAAGCAAAATTAGTTTGTGAGTGTTTCTCACACTACAAATCTTTATCTCTGATCGATACATTTTTCCTTTTTCCCAATTTCTAAAGTCTGGGTGCAAATCTTGGAGGCCTAGGATTTTTATGTTCCCGTTTATAATTGTATCTCAATGTACTCTAGGTCTTTCCCTGTTTGCCAAACTATCCAAAACAACATATTAAACATGTAGGAAATCTCATGTCCAGTGTTCAAGAAAGTGCAGGCGCCTACCTAGGCATTTTGGGTGCCTGGCTGCCTAGGCATCTACCCAGGAACAGGGTGCCCTCACAAAAATTGAAACCCCCCCTAAACCAAAAAACAAAAGAGTTCTTATGGCAGGGTTTTAAGCTTTAGGGAGTTTTTGGGGCAATTTTAGAGCAACTTTTTTTTTTGCGTAAGTAATTTTAGAGCAACTATTCAATAAAAGAATGCGATATATGCCCAATTTCATCATCCAAATGAGGAAAATTCAATTAATCACAAAAAATATCATTCTTTCAACGACAAACATGTAAATATATCGTAAAAGAAAAAAAAAAAGTGAACGAAACAACAAATGATTCACAACATAATACGTTGTGGCAAATTCAAATCAAAACCCTTTTTTCAAATATGATAATACTTTAAAAATATCAAAATCAGATCGATGTTGGTGCAGACCTCGCCTATTGGGTTGCCAAAAGTCCTCAAAATGTACTACTAGAAGCTCCAAATCCTCCCATGAATCGATCTTTTGATAAATCACATAAGAGTGGTTTTTGGGGAGTTTTTCACTCCCTAAAAGGCACGGTTTTTGGTTTTGGGGGTTTAAAATACCCCCCAAAAGCCTTTTCTCCCTTTTTAGTCGGGGAAAATGACTTTGTGTTTTACCCTCATTGAGACCCGTTTCCGCCTTTTTTGCAAGTTGTCACTAAGCAGCGCCTAGGCGGGCGCCTAGACTGTAGTGCCTAGGCGGCGCCTTACCTGCCTAGGCGGGCCCCTAGAAGCAGGATGCCTAATAGTCCGGCCTTGTGAGCGCTTAGTCTTGTTTTGAATTTTTTTTGTCTCGATCGACTGCTTAAGCAGTCGAGCGGGCGAATTTTCGAACATTGCTTCTGTCAAATCTCATGAACTAGTGAACTCTAAGAAGTTACTTTTTCTTAAATTGTAGACGTTCCTGGAAATCTTACTCTGCTTGAACTCTGTTTGGCTTTTATTCATTTGGAAATTTTGTAGCTTTGCGGCACCTTGATATCTTTATAATAATTTCATTGTGCCTTATAATAGATGTTAGGGACACACTTCTCGGGATCTTTCTTCATAACAGTTTTTTGTTATGATATGCTTGTAATTCAGAATTTTTTCCCCCCCTTACAAGGAATTGTCAATCACTTTTTGAAGTTTTGTGGCATTTTGTGGATAGCATTGACCTGTGGAAGATGCATGTTTGGCACGATTAGTCCTTGTAAGGGCTGTTTTTTGTGGTCTGATACGTATGAACCTTTGAAATAGGCCCTATGTTGTGCTATCTTTTAGCAGCTTTCTTTGATGAGATTCATGGCATTTCATGGCAATGCTGTGGATAGTCATTTATCATTAGAAATTTGAAATCTTAGCTTCGTATTCATTAGGATAGTTTGGGGTTTACTTTTTTCTCTCATTTAAATCATTGTTTAAATTACCTAATCATGTTTGCCTTTTTATATATGTGCAGAAAAGAGACAAAGTGATGATAATTCTTTTAATTTACACAATGTTGGCAAGAGGGATGTGGATGCTCCTAACATGGTTGACTCCACTTTTGAAAGAGAAACAGGTGAAGGTGAACATCCACATAGTGAAGATGATGGTCATGTTGAGGAGGAGCCTGTAGTTGATTTCTCTAATCTTACAGGAAGACAGAAAAAACTGTTTGAGTTGAGGCTTAAAATGGTAAACTACATTTACAATTTTTATTGGCAATTTATTGTATTTGCACACGAGGACCAGTTTTTTTCGTAGTTCATTTTAGGGCTTTATATAAAGGGTGCGGTTTGTATCGAGTCTATGCTCTAAACAATTAAATTAGAGCCTACCTTCAAATCGTGTCGAGAAATGTGGTTTCAACTTTCAATAATGGAAATCGTTGTGACAGCCTTAAATTGTATTTTCATCTTTATTTCATAAAGTTTAAAGCTTAAAAAATAGTGTATATTGACAGATCTATAAAAATTTGAAAATCTTGAAAATTGACGGTCCAAAAATACGTTACAAAATACACTATTTTCAAAACTTGAAATCCATTTTGTTCTCATGTCCATAAATCTTGAGGTCAAGATGATCAATTTAATGATTTTTGGGCATCAAAACAACCTCTTTTAGTGAAATTTTTGTGGTAGGCTCCAATTTGATTGTTTAGAGCCTCGGCTCTATATGAACTTTTCCCTTATATAAATCCCTTGCAAGTATGTTTCTTTTTTTCTGGGATAATCCCTGTTTTTTGATGAAGTGAAAGCTTGTAATGGTCCCTCTTATTGTTTATTTTTTCTTTGATATATTTAATCATGGAGCTCAGATTAATGTTACGTTTGCAGAATGAAGCAAGAAAGGCTAATCAAAGTGACATGCTTGCTGAAAAGAAGAGATTAGAAGCACCTCCTGAATCACGGGGCATATCCAAACAAAAATGGATAGAAGACAGGAAAAAGAAGGTGGGGAAGCTTTTGGATGCAAATGGCTTGGATATTACGAAGGCCTACATGTTGGATACACAAGAGGCTGCAGAAGTGAAATATAAGAAATGGGAGAAGGAACCTGCTCCTTTTGGTTGGGATGGTAAGGATGGATTCATTGTGGTCCTTTTTATTGCATGTTCCAATAGGATGGATTCATTGTGGTCCTTTTTATTGCATGTTCCAATGATATTTAGATTTTTTATTTTTTTGGGAGCTTTGTGGCTTTTCTAAAGTAGTCTTCATGTTTTTGCAATGTGGGCATGGTATTTGAAATAAAGTTGATATTGGTCCATTATTGTAAGGGTGCTAGTGAGTCAAGCTTGGGTAGTTCCTAGCTTGGTCTGGCTCCAAATAATAGGGCATCGACCCGGCCTAGTCTGTCCCGGTCCAATTATATGAAAATTCACCCAAACATGGGTGGAATAATAAAACAATTAAAGGATTCATTTCATATAAATTGTTTCTTATAAAAAAATGGGTCCATTATTTTGTTCTATAGAACATGGAATATAGAAAAATAAATTAAATAAATTTCAATTCCATGCAGCACAATTAAATAGAAAAAAATAGATATGTTATTTTATTCCATGTACCCAATACAAAAATGGTAGAAAGCCATAAAATACAACTTTGTCTTCTTTCATTGCTCAATAAAACAATCCAAAAGAGCAAAAATAAGAACTCCAAGATGATAGATGATATTTTCTTCCAATGTCCCATAGATACTCCTTCCAAAATCCAACTAGCTTGTAGTGCATTGAATTCATAATCCTAGTTGTAATACTTGCAATTTAGATGAAAACAATAGAAGATGAACATGGAAAATAATTAATGGATAAATAAGTAGATATGAGAGTTATAATAATAAGTAACCTTAAATTGAAAATAAAAGTACTAATGAAAAATTAAAAATCATATTCCCACTTTCCTATATTCGTCATCATCATCATCCGAGCCTTTTCCCAACTATTTGGGATCGGTTACACGAATCTTGGTCTGCCATTTTGTTCTATCAAGAGTCATACCCTCAGTGAGGCTAGAAGTCCCCATATCTTTTCTCATTATTTCTATCCATGTCCTTTTGGGCCTACTTTTTACCCTTTTTAAGCCTTCCACTTGAACCAACTTGCACCTCCTAGCAGGTTCCGTATTAGGTCTTCTTATGTTAGGCTACTGAAATGTCATCCATGACTTTGCCCCCTCCTTAAGGTGGTTCAAGGCTATGCACCTTGACATAGGGAAAAGGGTGGCAAAATAAAATTAATAAATTAGAAAACTAAAAGAATAAACAAAGGATGAGAGATTATTCTCTCTCTCAATGTCTGTAAAGGAGTCCACCCTAAAAATATACTTTCACAAACTCCAAGTTGAATTCTTCTTCTCTTCTCTCCGTTTTTCTCGTTAAGTAGTTCCATGTGTAAAGAAGAAAGACCCGAAAATCTAACTTGCTCCCTAGGGAATTGTAATCAATACTAAATCCGAACCCATTCATCTTTTAAGAACTAATCTTCCAATTCTACCCCTCAATTCTACAACTAGAAAAAGACACAAATACCCTAAAAGAAAACTAGATACCCAAAATAAATCAAACCTAAAAGCTAGAAAATAGTAAATTAAAACCCCATTACATCATTCTGCTGGGTTTGAGCGAAGCTTGACCTCGAGCTTATGGAATTCATAAAATTCTTTCATTGTCTTCATTTTTTTTAAACTAAAAGTTTTCACCTTTTCTTATTGAACTTTTGGTTGTGGGACTTAATCGCAAGTTGACTACAATGCTAGGATCTCTTATGGTTTCCACCATGAGTTTTTTCGTGCCCAATAACTAGATCAACTTCCAGAGCATCTTGAATTGTTGTGTGACCGAAGCTTGAATTGGTGATTGGTTTTTTATTTTTCCCCTCTTCATATTCTTCATCCCCATGTTGTAATCTACTGGGTAGATCTTGTAGAACTTGTTGTATTATTCTGCCAACCATTCTATCAGGGCTTTTTTGAGTCTGTTAGTTATTTGGTCCACACACTCTATACTTGGATTGCTAGATGTTTGTGACAACATCATGGTATATGGATTTCGAGGCTTTGACAGCAAATAAGTGCTATGGGATGTTTCTTTGACATGTTTTATTGTTGAGTATTGACTTATGGCCGCACTAAGGGTATGAACCTTAATAGAGCATAATGGTGGACTAGGATTTGTGTAGCCGACCTCAGTTAGTTGGGAAAAGGCTTTGACAATGATGATGATTGGCATATTGCTGGATACGTTATTTTCGTATCTATTAAGTTTTTGAATTTTTATAGTTTTCTAGATGTTCTTATAATTTTCTCTATTTTTCCTTTTCTTTTTTATTTCCATTTTTTTATTTTTTAAACTTGTTCCAACCATCCCAAGGGATGAACGGGTCCAGAACAGCCGGTCCATCTAGACTGGTGCCCTTTACAGTTTGGCTACTAGTTCTGTTTTTACAACTCTGAGGAAAAGGATGATCAAGAAGTGAGAGAGTGATGGAGTGGCAAAGACTCGAAGACATGGCTGACCCCAACGAACATGGCTGACCCTGACGAGCGCCTTTCATTGATGAAAAGAAGAGATGGTTGACTCTCTTCTTTTTAATTCATGGTTTGATCCTCATGCTACAAATGGATCTTTGTGTGGCATGGGCATCCCCATGTATCTCAAAAGAAACTCATCTATGCATATAAACGCATCTGCAGAATGCCCCAAACACTTGGCATCCAAACATTAGCTTAGGATATGACATTGAAGATTCAGACTTTGATATGACTTCTAAAGATGCCTGCTCAAGTGTCATGGAAGCTAAAGCTCTTGCCTAGGATTTGATAAAGTGGGTGATTTGCATTACACATGTTCTCTTTTGTGTATAGATAGAGTTAGGTTGTCTTCTATTTGCCTTTAACTGAGTCAGCCTTTTTGGTTTGGCATTTGTTGGATAGCTCTTTAGCATTAGCAGTGTTTCTATATGGTAGATGCCCTGTCATTGCACATTGTTTAAATGATGACGTGGTTGTTGTAAGTAGCCGACCCCAAATAGTTGGGATAAGGTTCTGATGATGATGATGATGATGTGGTTGCTGTGGACGCTAGCTGTTCCTCGGAGTTGTAGTCTTTTAGGAAATCGGTAAAAGGAGGGATAATAAAAGTGTTAAAGACATTGATGGTGAAATGGGTTACAAGTACCTTACCTTCTTTGCGAATCATAGAGGAATGGATAAAATATTAGATTTATGTGCTTCCTTGGGGTTGCACCAGTGGCTATCCTCAAAGGCATAAGAGACTTCGATGTAAATGTGGAGGCTGAATTTGTTGTTTGGTCTAATTTAGCAAATTTCAATTGTTGCTTAATGTTTTTTTAGATGACTATTTCATCTGTGTAGATGTATTCTTGTTGATTTTCTGATGTCTAGTAAAGGCATATTCTACTATGGGTTGATGGTCTTTTCAATGGTCACTTGTGAGGTCCAATCTAGAGATCTGATTTTGGAAACTTGTTGGACCGTGAGGAAGCCTTTAACTGTTAGGAACATGTGACACTTCATGGTCGAATGATGGATTTTGCAACATGCGGTGGCTAGGGATTTAAAATAAACAGTAGACCTGCTAGGAAACATTCTTGCCTGGGCTGCTAGGACCTCCCCATGCCCCTGGCGCCTACTACATGTCTTTGACAAGTTTTTTGAGTGATGCAGACATATACATATCTCGTATTGACATATGTCGTGGAAAGTTAATAGTCTAGCCAAAGCTAGTGCCAATGGAGGGAATGCTGAAAAGAATGCTAGCTGACAGCATTTTTCTTTCCTTTTTGTTTCTCGTGTTGCTGTCCTACTGAATTTTTGCTGATGGGTCGGCATGGTTACACTGCTTCTGTAAATAATGTATAGATAAACCAAACTTTGTAATTGTTTGATATCGCGTATTTTTTGAGAGCTGTACAGGGCCCCCAGCTTGTGGATGGCCTTCTCATTTCTTGGTTTTCCTTCGTATATACAAAAGTTTTACTACAGAGTCAACTTTATCTCCCAAAAAGAAAAAAAAATTTTAGTGGACCGGATTATTTGGTCAAAACTTATTTCGTGATCAGACCCATGGTCCCAACCGGGATTTGGCAAATAGAACCAAGTACCACACTTCTGTATTTCAGTTAAGTCTATACGCCTAATCTGGAAATTGTATAAACCTGGATTTGCCATGTAGAACCCAGCACATTTGTTTTATTCCTAAGATTTCAATGTGCTCTCTGCTTTATCCTAGATGTTCTGTGCCATGCACAATCCGAAGTTTGGAACTGGTTTAACTAGAGAGGAGGGGGGGAAAGAAAAAGCTTCAAAAGATACACTCTTCTTTGAGATTATACTGGTTTAGTTGCTAACAGCTAAATTGAATTGTTTGTTTGTTTATTTATCTATCTATCTATTTTTGTGATCAAGTATTTATTTATTTATTCTATAATACTCGATCTCACTTTATGAGTTTCTACATGCACAGGAATCAATAAAATTTGCATTATCTTCTCTCCATTATAATCTTATTTGTTTCATTTATTTACCCAAGAACGACACTTCACAGAGTTCCTTACTAGATTTTGCCTGTTTTATCAGTTTTCAACCAAAAAACACTGTACAATGCCTACAAAAAGCGTACAGAGAACATCAAATGTGATATGGAGGAATATGAGAAGCTGAAAGAATGTGATCCAGAATTCTATCGGAATGCTACGAGTCTTCAGTATGGGAAGGTGACTGCTTTTTAACAATGTTTATTGTTATTTGTTTCTAAAAAACTAGGTAGTTTTTTCTTCCTATAATACAACACTATTTGCTGATACAGGCACCTAAAACTTCGGAGGAGAACATAGATAAAATGGTGAATGAACTCAAGGAAAGGGAGGAAAAGCGCAAGGCTTTTAGCAGAAGGCGCAGATTCCATGAAGAGAAAGATATTGACTCAATCAATGACAGAAATGAGCACTTCAACAAGAAGATCGAAAGAGCTTTTGGCAAATACACTCTTGAGATCAAGAACAATCTTGAGCGTGGAACTGCTTTGCCGGACTAAAGATGAGAGGCAAGTATGACATCATATTCATCATTAGTTCATCACCATTACCATCATCAATGAAGATGATGGCGATTGTCTTTTATCTTTGTTAAACAACAAACTGAAATTGCGTGCATTATAATTGTGATAGCTTTTTGTGCATGCATAGAGGATGAGGGATGTATCATATTCATTATTGATTAGAGAATCTGTCAAGTCTCTCTCGTTTTTTTCTTGTTTTGGAGTAAAAATATCAATGCTTTCACTTAATTGTGGAATTTTTTTACAGAAATGGTATTTAGGATTAACCCTCCCGTAGATCGACTTTGAGGGCTCTATAAGGTTGTGGTTATGAAGGATTATTTACAACAAAAGAACCTTTGAGGCCTTATCACCGAAAAGGGCTTTTCCTTCCGGGAATTTTCAGCTTTTTGAATCAGCACCATCCGTTCAGGAGCTCCTTGCTTGATCTTATTATCCAAACCACCGAATCCTTCCCACCTTTATATGTTCTTGTCTAATGAGACCACATGGGTATATTGAGCAGCTGTTTTTGCCAATGCAATTGTTATCTTATTTCACTCTATATTTCTAATTGAGTGAACCAAACCACTACATCCTTTTTTTTTTTTTGGGTATGTTACCTTGCCACGGGTCCTACACTCGCAAAGATAAGGTACTGTGGCGTATGGTGTTTGCAGACGACATAGTTTTGATCTATGAGACCTGTGGCGTTAATACAAAGTTAGAATTTTGGAGGGATGCTCTAGATTTTAAATGTTTTAAAATTAACAAGATTTAGACAAAATGTATGAAATGTAAAATTAGTAGTACTAGGAGAAGAGACGAGGAAGTAGTTAAAATTGATAGTCAAGAAATACTAAAAAAAATGCATTTTCAATATCTTGGGTCGATAATTTAAAAAAATGAAAAGATTAAAAAAGATGTTACACATAGAATTAGAGTTGGATGGATGAAGTGGGGATATGCAATTGAAGTATTATATGATTATTGCGTACCAAATAAGCTGAAGGGGAAGTTTTATAAGATAGTTGTGAGATTAATTTTGCTTTATGGGACGAAATGTTGGACGGTTAAGAAACAAGAAGCCCATAGGATGAATGTAGTTGAGATGATGATGCTAAGATGGATGAGTAACTAGACAAGAAGAGATAGAATTTGAAATAAATACATCTTGAAGAACTCAGGTGTGGGTCAACGATATGGGAGTTTATGATTCCATTGAGGCTATGACCTATAGAGCATAATAGTGGATCAAGATTTGTCAATTAGTTGAGAAAGGTCTATAATGAGGTGATGATCTTGTCACTAGTCCTCCCTTGTTTTTTATATGTTCTTTTAAAATGGGAATTCGGTAGGTTTATTGAGCTGCTGATTTTGTCAATTTGGAAAGATTTTTTTATTGCGGGACCTCTCCTAAACAGGAGAAATTATTTGTGTCAATTGCAAAACTGGAGGCCTTCTTATCTTAAACTTGTTTCCACAATCCTATATGGTAAGAAATTTATAATGAAAAGTATGGAATTAGAAATCTTAGGCTCGTTATCTTTTCCACGAAGGCCTAGGAGTGGAATGACCAAAGGAAATGATCTAGAGAGAGAAAAGGGCCCGTAAATGTTTTCATTTACATAAGCAAACATAAATCTTCACATATATAGATTAAGATCTTACATTAAATCTTCACATAAATAGATGAAGATCTTACATTCAAAAAAAGAAGAGAAAAAAAGTACCTTATTATAGTGGAAACATCACAAATAAAAGTTGAAAAAAAAAGAGAGGGACTCAACAGCCATAATGGAGGGGTGGTTAATGTGCACAAGATTAAACTTTGCAATCTCAATAAACCGAGATCAACACCAATACAAGTGATCCCTCATTGAGCCATGGTTTCCTTCCTCTCCACTTGCTTTGTACTGGAGACACCACTTCTCAAAGGTACAATCTACAAAGTCATAGTAACCTCCATGAATCCTGAGTTTCCCTTGGCTTACTCGTTTCTCTATCCATGGATACGTCAACAGATTCAACATCGACTTGTTTACCGACTCCTAAAACAAGGAGTAGGATGAAGTTCATGACATGTAAATGGAGAGAGAGAGAGAGAGAGAGAGAGAGAGAGAACCTTCTCGCAATGCTTGCACTGCTGATCGAAGCTAAGATTTACTGCAGTAGCTTTTATACAAGATTTTGCGGGCTTTCCTATGGCCACCCAACCTTCAATGAAGCTACTGTTTGAAAGAAACAATGTGTATATCAGATGTAGGGGGAGAAACCATGAGTTATTAAGAAGCAAATTGTTATCTAACCTTGAATTGCATTCTTCCCCATGAGTTATTAAGAAGCAAACTGTTATCTAACCTTGAATTGCATTCTTCTTCCATTGACATGAGAGCTTTAATTCCACCGCAACAACTATGCCCAATGATAAATATGTTTTCCACCTGAACCAGTGAAATACAGTTTATAGCCTCAAAAGAATGCTGCTGTAGAGAGAGAGAGAGAGAGAGAGAGAGAGAGAGAGACCTCAAGGAAATTTACTGCAAATTCAAGAGCTGCACTGGTTTCAGAAAGGCCATTCTGCATGATGGTAGGAAAGAAAAAAGGTTCAAGTAATTGCTCAAAAAAATGGTCAAGTAATTTCTGCATACTGCTCTTTTAGGCGCATACGCTTTACATACAAATCAACTCAAGCACTATGATATATCATAGGAAACCGAGTTAAAAGAGTCAGAAGCTACATTTTACCTCAAAAGGTGGAACCAAATTCGCAATATTTCGAATGGTAAAAGCGTCGCCTGGTTGAAAACCCAGAATAGTGGAGGGGCAAACTCTAGAGTCTGCACATGCGATCACCATGAACTGTATTTGAACTGTCAGTCAGGAAAACACTTACCTTTCTTCTGTGTAATAATATTGAAAACGAAGAACCATCACAGATTTCCTTTCTATCTGAAAATAATGAAGAGTATTACATATCTATGTGAGAAATATCGAAGAGTGCAGATGTAGGAGAGAAAGGTAAAAGACCTTCGGAACTTGAGCCTCTGCAAGGCTTTCAAAACGTTCTGAGTTCTTCCTGTTGAAACAATTAAGCAATCAAGAATGTAAGCAGCTCCCTTTCTTACTGTGAAAGAGCCCTTAGGCTAAAATTGATGTCATCACTTACAGGAATTGCTCGTTTTTGAAGGTCAGAAACCGACACCTCATTTCTTCAAATGGATCTAACCCAGTACCATTGTTGTTGAAATTCTCCTGTTTAAGTTCTTGGGTCAGTCCTAAAAGCTTCTTCGAAGCGGCTGCTCTTAAAGCAGGGGCTTTCCTGTATAAAAGTAAGCTGTCCCATTAAATTACAGGGTGAATTGTTTCAAATGAGAAACATGGAAATACAGAAATTGAACCAGTTCAAGTGCAAATATAACTAAAATTCAAGAGGGAGAGGGAAAATTTAAGAGACAGATCAACGTTTGTTTTCGGTGGATATGGTTAAATTCCTTTTGTGGGTGTTCAAATCATTTAGCTACAATTCATGTTTTACTGAAAATCTGCAGAATTCACAGAAAAGATAGCGCTGTCCTCATAGCTATGTAATTAGCCCAAACCAAATCTAAAATTCCAGTAAAAATTGAGAAAAATGTTAATTTTTCTTTTAAGATCAGAAGCAAATCTTCAAAAAGAGGACCAAAGAAACCAGAGATCTGAAATCTGACTTAATTAATTCCACAAATTCTTGGTGGGTTCTTTCAAACGAGTCAACATCCGCCTGGCTATGCAGAGATGCCTGGATCTACAACACCACAAATGAAAAACAGAGGTGAAATTGTCAGTAAAAGGTGGGGAAACGCCGGAAAGTTAACGAAAATAATGCAATGGGATCCCCAAAATTTATACCTTTGCCATTTGATTAGATCTCCGAGGAAAACCCAGGAAGCCTGAGGAGCAGAGGTCGACAGAGGAAGGTAAAGAAGGTGAGGCGAACATCTAGAGAGAGAAAGAGAGGAGAGCGAGCTTTCCGAAAGAAGAACAAGGGAATTTTCGGAAGAGAGAGAGAGAGAGGAGAGAGATGAAATTCCCAGAGATGGAAGGAGACAATAAAGATGGGTACCTTTCATCTAAAGTGTGTGGCGGAGTAGACGAAGTGAGTGCTTTCTTTAATGGCGGAGAGAGAGAGAGAGAGAGCCCAAGAATGCGGGAGAAGTAGGCTTTGGCCGGTTCGTTTTTTGAAAAAATGTGCCTCTTTCACTAAAGAGGTTGCGTGGACGCACGGTGCGCCATTTCCCAAAGAATCGGAGGCTTAACCCTTTACCCCCTTATTTTTTTACTAAAATTTAAAACTTTTGGGTAATTAAAAGGGTGAAGTTTCCATAAGGTGTGCCCTTACACTATAGATGTAAGTGTGGTTTTGATGTCGGAAACTTTATGATTATAAAATCTTAAAGTTAAAAAACAATACAGATATGTATAGTTCTGATGTTGGAAACTTTATGATTAAAGAATAGTACTGGTCGAACAAATCTATGAACATTTAAAAATATTGCAAATAGCTGGTTCAGATGATTTTTTACAAGACATACTACTTTTAGAGCTTAGTTTTTTTTTTTCTTTATATATATAGATTTTGAGATCGAGATGATCAATTGGAAATTTTTCCAACTTCTTTAGAATATTTTTTTTATTGAATTTTTGATGTCCCCCGGCCCTGCCCCCTCTCTTAAATAGGTTATCCCTCTGTCAATTAGAATGTATCATATTCTCTCCAAAGTAAATTGGTTTGGAATGTGACACGCGGTTCGAGTAATTGTCATGATTGGTGTTTGGGCTAGTTCAGTTCAAAGTAAACATCTAATTTAGATAATAAAATTGGTCAACACCTATGTTTGATCGGTTTCAATTAGACCATCCAATTTTGACAGGTTATAAAAAAAAAAGAAAAAAAAAAGTTGAATATATTTTATAAAATTGATTTTAAACCTGACCTTTCACCGGTTGAAGGGCCAATCCGAATAAAATATAGGAAAAGAATCATGTGGGTGCAATCTCGGCTATAAGATCTATAAATCTATTTCATACTATTTAGGTATAGTTTTGACTCAACCTAAATTTTGCTATAATACACTCTTGAGAAACCCATTTCTTACTTAGGTCAAGCATGATAGAGACTTTATTTAGACTAAGTATTGGACCCAAATGAATTAAGTTCAATAGTACGACACATTCACAAAAATGCCAACGCAATGACCCCCTAGTTCATATCTATAACGACATATTGCATCATTAACCATGATTTATTTTTCAGAGACTCTTTGGTGAGTTTATACCCATGTTGAGACTCTCCGGTGAATTTACTCATTATACTAATATTTTCTGGTGAATATACAAAACAAACATTTATCACTTCATCTCATACCTCCCCAGTGCATAGAGCCTAAAAATCACCCTTTTGCTTATCTCAAGATTTATTATTGATAAAAATACCCTTCTTTTTACCATTACCATGTAAATCAGGAGGTCAAGAGATTTGTGAACACATTCCAGATGACAAACTCGATAATTGCTAGAAGGGTAAAATAGAAATACGAAACCTTTCCTACAAGTCACTCCTAACGGAAACACTACGCCCTTCTAGAATGACATGCTAGATAAAGATGACGCAACACATGTCTAAGATGGGATGAATATTCTAGACACACAAAAATCGTGCAAGACCAAATGTCATTACATAAATAAGACACGACGACCACTATATGCACTACATTGCAATTATCGGATACAATAGTAAACCACTAATCAAAGTCATTGATGGCTATTCGTAAACCACTAATCAAAGTGTTTGATGGCTATAAATATTCACAAGCAAGGTAAAAGAAAGGCATTCAAAGAAAAAATCACATACTTGCATACAAAGAAAAAATCACATTGTCTCTATGACCGATCCCTTTTATCTACAAAAGGATATCTCTTGTGGTGAATTCATATGTGATTGATTCAACAAAATTTTTTCAATTCTCCATTATACGATACACCAAAAATAAAACAAAGCTCTGCATTCAGATATACCCTGTTAGAGTGATTATTTGAAGTTTTTTTTTTAGTGGTATTGGGTCCACTCCACATTCAATTTAAGATCACCCAAACACATACCTCTACGTGTGTCAAATAAATTTCACCCAAAACGCAATTAATTCTTGGGGAACAGGGGGGAATTTCAAATCTTCAAAAAATTTGGATAATGATGTATATGGAGAAGGATTTCCGATATGGTTATATCTTCTAAAGAAAAAAGTTTATATAAAGTTACAACCCTGAAACGTAGAATTATAGATGTACCTCAAAAATCTATCGAAAATGTTCTTTTAATATTAAAAAACCCTTTAATTGATCATCTCGACATTGAGATGTATGAGTATATAAAAAAAAGTTGAGTCCCAAAAGGTAGTGCATCTTGCAACATATTATCTAGACCGTCCATTTTCAAGATTTTCATATGTTTATAGATTTACTTGTTTTTAACCATTTTTTAAGTTTAAACTTTTTTAATTATATATGAAAATATATTTTACGATAGGGAAAATATCTCCATACCCCCTATTTTTAAATTTTATTTCATAATAAACCCAAGGTTTTAAAAGTATATTGGGGCATTAAAATTATAGATTTTATTTCTTCTAACCCCCTTGAGCTAATTTAAATTTTTTTAATCCAAACAAATATAAAAATATCTGCCTTTTTTAAAGTGGCCAGCGGTTAGAAGATAGCTTTTGAAACTTTGGGTTTATCAAGAAATGAAACTTAAAAATAGGGGATATGGAGATATTTTCCCTTTAAGATAATCTTAAGACTTTTTTACAATAAATTTACATGTTATGATAAAATTTGAAGGTGCGCCCTAATTAGATTGTTTAAAGTTGCAACCTTATAGAAACCACACATCCTAAAAGGTCGGAATAAAGGAGGCCTCGAGTACTTATTTTCTTAGTTTCCTCTTTGTTATAGGTTGCTTTAGTGGGAGAAAATAGATATGTTGAGAAAGTATGTGTTGGATTCAATGGCTTAAAAAACGGATCGGGCACTCCAAAAACCCATCCGGATTGGTGAATCGGCGATCCGGATCGGGAATCGGCCGAATCAATCAGATTAAGCTTTAAAAAAATTTATTAAAATTCATTATAAATATTGTTGTTTAAGAATGCAGTAAAAAATAAGGGTATTGCATTATTAACTTTCATTTTTTTCATCAATTTGTGAATATTGAGATGTTATTTCCCTATATGAATTATGTTAACCGTTAAATTTACATCATACAAAAGAAAAATCATAGAATTATCATAGATAAAGTATATAATCATACATGGACTACAATAAAGAGTGAATTAAATCGATGAAAAAATGGCTACTAAAATCTCGAATTT